CCAAGATGTACATTAAAATTATTATTTCTTTTCAAAATGCTAAATTTGCCCTTACCATTTATAGAGACAAGTTTTCAAATCTTCTGCTGCAGCAGTTCCTCCCCACATCCCCACTGCCTATGAAAAGACATTTTTTTTCCTCCAGATTGGAAAAGAAAGTCAATCTTTGCAGGATGGGGGCTTTGGTAGGCAGAATGGGAGTGTGTCTGCACAGATTACCAAAAAAGAAAAAAAAAATTAGGAAAAAAATGGAGATAAAGATAGCAGGTCCATCAAGAAAGCTTTCAAAATGTGAAAAATAGCCATCAGCTCTTGATTTCAAGAGCTCTATTGCACCAATCAGCATTTGGTCCTTTCATATTCATTTCAGTCTTAAGACCATCACCTGCTCAACCCTTTGTACTTCTTCAGAAGTCCTATTCAGACCTAAAAATGAAATCACAGAATCATAGAATAGGTTGGGCTGGAAAGATCCTTTAAAGGTCACCTAGTTTCAATGTCCTGCATTGAGCAGGGACATCCTCAACCAGACCAGTTTGCTCAGAGCCCTGTCCAATCTCACCTTGAGAGTTTCCAGGGACAGGGAGGCCACAGCTTCTCTGGGCAGCCTGTGCCAGGGCCTCACCAGCCTCAGCATAAAAGATTTCTTCTTAATCTCTAGTCTAAGTCTACCTTCCTTTAATTTAAATCCATTAACCCTTCTCCTAACAATACGCACCCCACAGAAAACCTGTCTTTCCCTTTTTATAAATTCTCTTTAGGTACTGAAAGGTCCCAGTAAAGGGCAGGGCAATTAAAGCTTTTAAACAAGTGAGAGAATATCTGAATTTAACCATTCAAAAGCCATCAGTACAAAGACACACAGTCTGCAGTGCAGTAACGCACAGAAACTTTGGCTGATTCATTGGAAATGCATCTCAGAGATGTTCTAAATCCCACAGACTCATCGGGAACAGCCAAATCTGCTCCCAGCAGGACCCACCCACCCTGTGGAAAGGTGACCTCCAGCATGGGCTAATCCATCCCAGCCAGGTCACCCAGGCATCATCACCTCCAGGGGGGATTTTCTCATCCTCAGGACTGCCTGCCTTGCAATAATTCAAGCTGTAGTGCTCCCAGTGCCCCTCTTCATTTCACACCTTCATAGATCTCGCTCTGAAGGTATTTTTCCTCCTAGTCTAATCTTCGGAAAAATTTGACAGCAATAAAAATGCAATAAACCAACCAGTCGGATTATATATATATATACTGCAGTCTGAGAAAGATGAAAGGCTGTATTGTTCAGAGATATAATTCCAGTGGCTCCCACAGTGTAGCCTGTGCCTACACAGAGGAAGAAAAGGAGCTGAAGCAGCTTATATTTTGTCTTATAAGTCGCCTAAAATAAACCCAGCTTCTGATCCTTGGCTCACATCAGGAGAACGGCGCTGGGAAAGCCAATAAAGACCTGCCAAATATCTCATGAGGACAAAATACCTGTTTGTTCTACCCAGCTCTTGCCAATGCATCAAGTGAAGTGATATGAGGAAGGGAAAGGAGGACTGTGTGCCTGGGAATCAAATATTCAAGAGCAGAAGGAAACACACCCAGAGTTATTCTGGGTCAGTTAGAAGAGAAATCACTGCAATCAGATCGTGATGAGCAGTAACTGTGTGGCTCCAGTACCTGTGCAAATACTCTTAATTTCATTTATATTGATAGACATTAAAATGCTCTTAATTTAATTTCTATTGGTAGACATAAAAAAAACCAAAACAAACAACAACAACAAAAAAAAACTACTAAGCCTCAAGGAAGACAAACGAAAAATAAAAAATTTAGCCATGAGGCCTGATCAAAGACAAATTGCAGCTTTTATAACAACAATAATAATTTATTCCACTGTGGCACTGGACAGCAGATGATTAAAGATGAGCAAAGGTCTCCACGTGTCTGGATTTATACCAGGCCACTCCATCCACTGGGTTACAGGAGCAGCAATTAATCACTGCTGGAGAAGGGAGGCATCTTAAGAAAATCTTGAGGTTTCAGAAGTGAGTTGTAACACCTTTAGGAGAGCAGTTTGTCTCCTCAGGAGCTGAGACATTTTGAAAAAATGGTAGCTTACAAGATTTTAGCTTGTCTTTTTAGAGAAACTGCTGTCACTCTTTTGTGTTAGGCAAAAACAAAATAAAAACCCAACAAACCATCATAAGAAACTCGTTAGACACTTAAATTCAAGGCCAACCAGAAAGATCAATGGACACAGCTGAAGACAGCATTAAATATAATGTGACTGCAAAACTCTTGGAAGAAAACATCTTTTTTGTTCATAATTTTCTGACTGCTCCCTCATCAACCCAACAGGCAAATTTTCTTCCCAGCTTCCAATCCTACTTAGAGAAATGAAAATTCCCATATGAGAACAGCTGTTCAAGAAATAAATCTCTTCGGCAGCTTAAGGGCAGAACTGCAAGGGTAATTTCACAGTTGCCATCAGAGGTGTTCTGGAGACCTGAATTTCCTACTGAACACAGGGTAAATCTGTGCAGGTGACTCCTCAATACTCTCTCAACAAAAATAACTTTCCCCAGTCTTTACAGAGCAGCTCCTCAGATCATGGAACTCATAAATCATCTTTATTGTGCGGGTGGGAGGAAAGAGAAAGCCCTGCAAAGTTTTGACTACAAAAAATATTAAAAGTTCATTCAATTCAGATTAGAAGTTCAACTATGTCCATATGGTTTTATATTTTTCCCCCTCTGAATCCAGAATTCTACATATATAAAGGTTCTAAAAAAAGTCTATTGAAACAAAAAAATTATAGCATGAAAGAACTTGTACTGAACTAAAGTATTCAGGAAGAAAAATAATTTCACCACTGCAACAGCAGTTTTAAAAATCCATATTTTGGTTCACTTCACTTAAAACCAGGCAGCTGCTTTCACAGTCACCCCAAAAAAAAATGATGGAGAACCTGAAAAAGTGAAGGGCAGCATGATGGGGGAGAAAAGTTGAGAGAATCGGAGCACAAAAGAAAAAATTTTTGGAAGAAATTTCCACAAAGGCATTGTTTCAAAAGGATCACTGAAGCCACATCCCATTCCACAATATAAGATATCCTCATTCTTCATTCTTGACTGGCACTCAATTCCTTCCCCTGGTATCCCTTGTAAAACAAAACAGCATGACATGATCACAGAAGGTTAGGGAAAGGCCACACGAATTCACATCTGCACTCAGACCTTCAAAGGGAAGGAGGATCTCAACAATTGTTATCTGCTGATGTGTTTGAAAGCACATTAAAGAATAAAATGCAGCCAAACAAAAAATAATGATCACTGAGTAAAAGCTGCCAGAAGAGGAATGAGGACGCCGACCAGGAGATTGATTTTGTGTCATCTTTTACACAGAGAAGAATATTACAAAGAGGAAGCTTGACAGAGCAAATAAATTTGTGTTGGTTTGACTCTTCCACCCCCAACCAAATACTCATGATCTATGGAGAAAAAAACAGATAAAGGAAAAACAGAAAGAGAACAGCAGGAAAAAAAACAAAATAAAAACAAAACCAACACAGCACCAGCCCTAAAAACAAAGTCTGTCCTAGCAAAGATCTGAATAAGGAAAGTTCTTTATAAAAATAAAAGTAAGGAAAAAAGCCTTTACACTAAATAGAGAGATAGCAAGTAGTGAAGGAAATTTCATCCTACATCAACTAAGAAACTCCATTTTTCCAAGCCCTTGGAAGCAAAGCTCAGAGGTCTCAGCTTAGTCCTTCTTGACAGCACTTCACAGTAAAAGCCCTTGGGGTGCCACTTTCCTTCTCCATGAATTGATAACATCAATACTTGACAGTCCTCCAGGAGCTCCATGAGAAAAAAAAAAAAAGCAAAAAAAAAAAAAAAAAAGGAAATTTTGGTTGCATCATTCAGCAATACACCAGAAGAAATCCTACAAGTCCATGTGGAGATCCACTCCCACATGAGAATTATGTTTTGCAGCACACTTAAATACCATCTGCAAGAGAGATAAGGAATTGGAAGACACTCACAGGGCTTCAAAACACCATCATCACTCATCCTCTCTCTCTAAAACTACCAAGTGCTAAAAAGAGCCACACCAAGAGGGTGCAAGCAAAAATATGGGGCTGATTAATTCCTTAATCAAGAAACAATTTCCAGTCCTGCTTGGAGTGACAGAGGGAGAATGAGCCCATGGGACAGAGGAAAGCTCTGTGTCAGGGAAGGAAAAGGGTGAGCAATGCAAAATTAACACACATTTTTATGTTAACACACATTTAATAACAAGGTTAACACATATTTTGCCCACAAACTTGACACCTACATATTGCTCCAAGATCCATCCAGCCTAGGAATGTTCAAGGCTAGGTTGGATGGGGCTTGAAGCAACCCAGTCCAGTCCATGGCAGGGGGTTAGAACTGGATGATCTTTACAGTCTCTTCCAAAACCCAAACCATTCTGTGATTCTATGATTATGTACAGATATACTTCAGACTTCACCCAAAGGCCTTTACAGCATTAGGTTTTGTTTGTTTGTTTTTTCCTTTTATCTTCACGGAATCTGCATTAGATCCTGTGGTTTTGGGCCAAAAGCTTTGGTGCAGAGTTTATTTCACAGCTATTACAAGGTACATTACACTAATTAGGACACACATTATGGCCTGCTCTGTGCCCTGTGATAAATCACACAGTGCTGTGGTCTGGGGTAAACATTGCCATACATCTCTGGACACTACTGCATGTTTGACCACTTCCATAAATACAATTATTTCTGTGGTACAAGTAGGATTGGCTACAGGGACTAATTTATCACCATTTTCTTTCAGCACATAAACAGTGTAGTAAATTCAGTAGCTTCCAGGGGGGGAAAAAAATAAAAAAAGTAAAAAAGAAAAAAAAGGAGGCAGCAGTGGGATTTCCTTCAGTGAAGCAGCATCAGTTGTATTTTTCCTTCAGTAACACACCAATTGTTCTTCATTTTCCAAAAATATACTCACTGTGTCATGTCTAGTGTGCAGTCAGAGACAGGGTTCTGGCTTTCAAGCTTGTCACACCTGAGAAATTGAGGTGAAGAGAGGACAGCAGGCTCAGGCTCGTTGTTTTTAAAGACTTTGGTGGTATTATGAGCTTTCCTTCCAACTGTCCCCACACTGGCTTGTTCATACACAAAAGCTCCATTTCAGAGGTAAATCTTATCATTCCTTCAAATGTGCTGAATTTTGCACACTGTTCAACAAATAAAGGGAGAGGGAAAAATCCTGACAAAATATTTCTGCAGAAGAGCAGCAGAGGTTGGATGATCAGTGTCCCACACACACATCAAGTGTGCCACCATGAGCCCGGCATGCTTTCCCTGGGGGGAAAAGCTTTATTGCAAGGTGCTCAGGCTCCATCCAAAGCAACTGAGACAGTTTTATAGGCTGTGACCTCTTTGGGATAGAAGAACCAGAGCTGGAGCAACACCTGGGAGTCAAACCATCACCCAGCTAGAGCAGCACGAATGGGTGCTGGGACTGGAAGAATTTAATTTCAAAATTATTTATCCAAATTTACATAGTGTTCCAAGCACAGTGTGTCCATTGGCTCATTGTCCTCCAGCCCATCCATCCAAAAAGCAGCATGGGTAAAAAAATAAAGTTCCACCCTGGATGATACAGCAGGTCAAGACCCTGTTCCCCTCCCTATGGAAGAACTCACCAGAATGGTCCCTCACTCAAACAACCAAAAACATTCCCTTCACCCCCACCAGATGCACCAAGAGAAAAACCATCCTGCAAGACACTGGTTGGGGTTTTGTCCTTCCTGGACACTCCACTCTCACCTCTGGCACAGGAATCTCTGCTGTATTGAGACTTTCCTCCTCCAGCAAAGTCCTGCCCTATGGATCACACAGTGATTCCCAAACTGCTTTGAACAGATAAATGATGCCAGCATCATTTATCCAGCTAACTTTTCATGGAAAATCCCACAGGCAGGACAGTTCTGGTGCTCTCCATATAGCATGAAGCCAGCAGAATGCCACCATTTACAAACATGTCCTGGATAAAAATGACAAAAAATTCATAAAGCAACGGCAACTTTGCCTCCAGGTCTGTCTTACCCAGAGTGAATTGGACTTGAGAGAACAACAAAGGAGAGTCCAAGCTCCCAGGAAAGCTACCCCCCAAAAAAAAAAAAAAAAAGAAACAGCTTTAATATCATGCAAATGACAAAGGAAGAAGGAGATGAGGTGTTTTGAAAGGGGACCAGAAAATCTTGTATCAACGTGGAACCCCAGTTCAGCAGGAGACAGCCTGACAGGCAGATGTGACAGCACAGAGAGGAGATCAGACAGAAGGAGACAGAGGCTTAAGACTTCAAAGGATTGTGATTATGGCTTAGATTCCACACAGGTATGGCCTGGAAATAAAGGACATCTCCATGTTCCAAAGTTTTGAGTGGTATCTCAGAGAGGTTTATGGCCTTTGGTATGTGTAAATATTGGGATGTTGGCTAGCCCAGACTGGAGATGTGGTAGGATATGCACCATTAAAACCCCCTTAATCCCAGTGGGAGCACTGTTCCATGAACTAGGAAAGAGGAGGATCCCTGAATTTATCTTGTGCAGGAGGAGACATCACAAAGCAGCTTCCACAGGGATGGAACTTCACCACACAACATGAGCAAACATGACCGGCATCATGTACAGATTTGTTCTTCAGACCCAAACAGATTCCTAAGAAGGCTTCTGTGTGTGTTTTCACCTGAAGATGCTTCTTTGCATTGTGGCTGTGGTCAGATTAACATTTCCACTACACTGAATTTGACAGTCAAGAGAGATGAATGTCAGCAGCCCAAGCAAGCAGATCAGTCAATGCACAAAACCCAGATAGCTCAACACAAACAAAAGCCAAGAAGTGTTAAGCTCTGCTGTCACTCTATTTCCACTCCTTTGGTTCTCCATGGCATTTCAGAGCTCAGCCATGCCTTGTATTGCCATTAAATGTGAATATTTCAAAAGGTGCTGCATCAACAACTGACAGTAGAGCTGTGTGGCACAGCTATAGCAGCAAAGCTCTACCCTTGGCTTGACTAAAGGACCCAAGTCCTTCAGAAAGGTCTCAAACAGGGCTCCAGCAGGATAAAACACCAAAGCTCATCCTGTTAATAGCCAGAGAAACACCCAACTGTGAACAATCACCTGATATCCTGGAATAATGCTGCTGCAGGCACTCCCACATGTAACAGGTCAGCAAACCCCCATATCCCAATTCAAGGGGAAGAGAAAATTCCACATTAAACCAATGGGAGACAATGGAAATTAAGGATGGACAGCCCCACCATCATGCCCAGGTGAGGAGGTTGGACCACACAAGCAACAGCCACAGCAGCAGAACCAGAGAACCACAGAATATCCAGAGTTGGAAGGGACCTACAACGATCATCAAAATCCATCTCCTTGCCCTGCATAGGACACTCCAAGAATCCACCGTGTGCCAACAGATGTATTGAAGCATTCTTGCACACACACACCAGTCCTAAAAAACCAGCACTGAAAGTTAGGGTAGCAGCTTCCATCTTCTCTTTCCCAGACACCCTAGAGACTCATATTTCTTCCTCAATTACTTTGAGGGAAGAGCCAAGAAAAACAAGGCTGTGGTCCAGACATCTCTACTGAGCCCACAGGGAAGATGGACAGTGGTTGGAGGATTGCAAACCAGGAATTTGTTCAGAAAGAGAAAAATCCACAGCCTCAGACCTCCCACAGGAGTTGAGCTCTTTCCTCCTCTGTACAAATTTATGTTGTGTCCAGCTGCAAGGCAGAAGTGGCCAAATTGTGATATGCAGGAGGAAATTGAGCCAACAAGACACCACTGTGCACTGTGCCTGTGTCTGAAGGAAAGAATTAGGGCTGGGCAGTCCTTCATGGCTCCAGCAGGCACTCAGAAGATTCCTGGGTGTCCAACTGCATGTCCAGCTTGGAGCATCTTCCTCATCACCTCCCACTACTTCACTCAGCCTGTTCTTACTCAGGTGGAGGAGATGAAAAATTCCTGACATGGAGCCAACATATGGCAGAGGCTGAGCAAACTTCAATGCCAGGAGCCAAAGGCAAAGGAGCTCACAAAATAACATTTTTCCACAGACAGCCAGACCAAGATCAATCTCTAAGGCCCCTTCCAATCCAAACCATTCTGTGATTAAGAGCCCAATTATTTCCCATGAGCTGGGCTAAACCAAAAAGAAAGGTATGAAGATCTGGACCTGGAGATGCAGCCCCAACAGCATAACCTGAAATAGCTCTGTCTTCATCATAACCCCACTACAGGATATCCAAGGTGCTGGCTGAGGACACTTGGAAATTGAGACTTTGCCAACAACTTTAAAAATTCCCTAACAGAAATTTCAGCACCAAATTCTTGCCAACTAAAAAATAAAAGTGGGTGCTCACTAAACCTCACAAATTTATTTTTCTGACTCACATGCTCCATGTTTTTTTTTCCATAGAAGACAAACCCTCCCAATTTTCCATTTGAGCAGTGGGATTGAAAATCTCATACAACCACTCACATGTACAAACAAAGCAGCCCTGTAGCTACACCTCTGCTCAGAAATAAGATTAATTGCTACCAGTAAAACTGTTACCTGAAGGTCTGCAGGACATATACATATTTAAAGTATTAAAACAAAGGTGCAATTACTTTAAGTAAAAAGGGATAGAGTTTTTAAAACACAGAGTTGTATTTTATACCAAAGCTCAGGATTTCTTCAGAACATCTGCAGGCAGAAACAGGACAAAAATAAGTCACAGGAGAACTTAATCATAAAAGACAGAAAAGTCAAGGTTAGTTTTATCCAGGTCATGACTTTTCAAAAGTTGGGATTTTTGTTTGTTTTGCCCTCATTAGAGGGAGATGCTACTGCAGAAGCCATGGAAAAATTATGGGTGGGTTCACATGTCTGTGCCAGTGCACTTCTCCTTGGATAACATCAGATCCTTGCAAACCTTGTCAGAGCATTGCCAAAGCTGATCTAACTGGGAGTGACAGAGTCAGAAATCTCTTTTCCATCAAAATCAGTTAAGACATAATAGAAAGTCTATCAACTTCCAGTCCTGTAAATATTAACTTTCAAAAGCTACTGCAAAACACAGTCTTTTGGGTTTTTTAAGGAGAAAATTGTTTATCACTTCAATACCATGAGTCAACTTCTCTACTACCCAACATTTTCCTCCACTTGTTCTATAATAAATAATTATAAGCCTAAATTTTTGGAGTATATTGCAAATATCCCATCAGCCTGTAGGATGGGATATTTGCATCCTCCCCCCACACATATTCATCTCTCACCATATTTAAGTATCTGCTAAATTAGATAGTAAAGTTTGAATTATGGCTACCCTATAGCAGCAGCAGACCACATAAGGTATTGCAAATATAGTTCTTAAAAGACAATTTGAGCTGTTTATCAGAAATGTCATTTGTGAGAGAAAAAAACCACTTAGTCCACTCAAGGCCAACTGCCTCTGCAGGGTAGATCTGGGAAAACTTCACCTCAGCCAAGGAACAGCATTTAGAACCATGGAATGATTTGGGTTGGAAGAGACCTTCAAGGCCATCCAGTTCCAACCCTCTGATATGGGCAGGGACACCTTCCACTACACCAAGTTGCTCAGAGCTCCACCCAAACTGGCCTTGAACACTTTTCTTCTAAAAATCCCCCATTTTCCTGAAAAGAAATGTGTGGAAAACATTTCAGTAGGGCTTGTTGCAATAGGACAAGGAGGAATGGCTTTAAGCTAAAAGAATGCTGAATAAGATTAGATATTAGGACAAAAATTTTTTCCAGTGTTGGTGGTAAACACTGAAAAAGGTGGTGGATACCCCATCCTTGGAAATATTCCAGGTTAGGTTGGACAGGGCTCTGAGCAATGGGATCTGGTTCAGGATGTCCCCGATCATTGGACTGGGTGACCTTTAACAGCTCCTTCTAACTTGAACTGTTCCATGGTTTGTGTCTTATGGAGTTTTCCAGCACTGAGCTTCTTTGTTTAGCTGGCTTTCACTGTAGATAC